GCACGTCACTGTGTGTGCATGTCTCGGGCTGACAGGTGCCACACAGCGTTGATGCAAACGGGCATCAGACGAGCCTCGGATCTCCTGCCAAGGCCGCCATGCTTTCTCCCTCTCATCTCCTCTCATCGCATCCACGCCAGTCTGCCTAATGAACGAGAAGACACGCGTACGCAGCCATGAGATCCCTATACAGTACAGTAGGTAGCATGCGATGTGACACACACTCTCACACCCCGAGTGTTTCTTCTTCTTCTTCTTCATTTTCTCCCCCAAACACACACTCATGCACACAGACAAACTGATTTATCTCCGGCAAGCGCACACACACACACACAAACACGATAATGAATCCCAGTTTGACCACCCACACTGGATCAGCAGGGAGAATAGATTCCAATCAACAGGACTAATGCGGGGGAGAAAGACAGTAGCACATTTGTCTCCACACGGCGCACTATTAATATGCTTAATAAAGTGGAGCGAGGGATGTGGGAAGACAGGATGGTGTGATGGAGGGTGAAAGGGTAAGAAATGCAAAGGAGCAGGGTAATAAAGAGGAGACGGCGGAGGAAAGGAACTGGTGAAAAAAAAGAGGAAGGGGTTGTAGAGAAAGTGTAGCGCAGTTAAAGAGGTCGGATGATACATTTCTCCTTCAGTATCAATAAAAGCCACAAGGACACCAGCCTTGTCTAGACAAAGTCCCATAATCAAGTTACCAGTCCTTCCTCCATACAACAAGACAGAACATCAGGGCGTGTCTTAGTGTGTGTGTGTGTGTCTCCTTCACGCACACACTCAGATACACATCGCCATGGTAACAGTGCCGGCCAGCCGAAGAGGCAGCGATGTGGCAGCCCCGTCCTTGGAGAGGAGCGGAAAGAGAAAGAGGAAGCGACGGCACAGCTAGTTTGCGAACTAAAACTCCACCCAGACCCCGCCCTCCGACACCTCCTGCGCTTAACACAATATGTGCACACGGCGAGTACACACCTGGAGGGCCGCGAGGGCATCGACTTCGCTGAGCGGGAAAGATGGAAAACGGGGAGGAAACAGCTAGTGCAAGTTCAGAAATGTGTCTACCAGGACTTCTGAAGCTCAGTAATTAAAGCGGTGCTGGCTTCGAGGCATTTCTTTCTTCAAATTATGCACAGTCACCCAGAAAGACGGCAGCAAGAGGGCTGGAAACAGCTAGCCTGGCCCTGTCTTGTACTGCTGTTTTTACATATCTTTGATTTTATATGCAATAGACAAAAAAAGATTTTTTTTTTTTTTTTTTAAAGTGTTGCTGTTTAACAGATTTTGCAACCTCTGGACACAGCGAGGAGAGATGTGTTGGCTAAGCTGGCTGCAGTTTCATATTTACAGTACAGCCATGTATTGATCTTATTCTTGGCAAGAAGGAGAATGAGCATATTTCCACCCAAAAATTGGACTATTCCCTCATGCATAAATGTTCTGTGAGTTCATCCGCAGTCCAGCAAAGAAGTAAGAAAGAAAAGGAGGAAAGAATGAAAGGAAGACAGCGACAAGGCCCATATGTGTTACAAAAAGACAAGACAGGCTGATGACTCACACTGGGAACAGCCCCCCTCCTGCAACGCCCCAGCCCACCTCACCCCCTCCCTCCAAACCCCTTTCATCATTATAACTGCTGCTTGTAAAAATAACTGAGTGCATTTGGCCATTTGGCAATGACAAAAATGTCTGCACAGTCAGAGGCCTCAGAGGCCCGTCACTCTGCACATTTATAGAGCAACTTATGCCCGAGTGACTCGCTGCAATAAGGGCATTAAAGTCACATGACCGGGGCCGCCGCATTTAGCAGGCCCACCGTGAAGACCATTACTGAAATTGATATTGAATGCTCAATCAATGCCTATCAATGCCGAGGAGGCGCATTACCTCATGCATAGAGGGAAATGATTGAACTGTTTTGATGCATTCGTGCGCAGTTCAAATGCAACATGAAATTATGCCATGTTAGTTACGAGGCGTCACGTTAAGCGGCGACTGCGATGCTGACGTTGCCTTTCGTCAGATTTATCTAGATTTCATTAGGATTATCGCGGTGAGACCAAATGTGACGGTTAATTTAATATTCACTTGTCTCATTACAAGCTTCCCGTAGCGCTGCTCATTTTCTCCTGCTGTGCCTGCGTTCTCTCGCTGCTAAATCTTCTATAATATTATGTGCGTAAAGGAGCATCTGCAATGCAGCTGTAGTGCATGTTTCTCTGTGTTTGGGTGCATCCTGACATGCCTGCATCATTATATTTGTGTGTCCTTGTGCTCATCTGTGTCCTCCAACAAGGGAATAATAAGAATAAGCCCTCAAAAAAGACTTAAACACAGCATATGACACTCAAACATGCAGAAAATGATGCACAACATCCTCCTGCAAGCAAACTAAAACACATTAATTCTACAGTGATGTCCTGTTGACACTAGAGGGTCATTAAACTTCAAGGATGTGACTCTTGATGACTCAAATTTGTCAAACGGACTTAAAGGCGGACCACGTTCGGTAATAGCGTTCTTCATTCTACCAGATTTAATTACTGCAGGCAAAATGTAGTTTATTTGTTGGCCTGTCCAGTTTGTTTTCCTGCTTCATGAACATTGCTCGCTGGAAGAGGCTCCAGGAGGGAGAGCGATGGACAATTATCCCTATGAAGTTATCGCCCAGTACGTAATTAACTTTAGATTAGCTCCATGTGCGAGAAGTATAATTATACAAAGAAGACACAATGAAGGAAGCAAGGACAGAAGGGTTCAGAAAACCAATAACATAAAGTGCAATAGCCTGTTTGAACAAGTGCAAAGAAAGTTCCCTTTGTGCATGGTGCTCACTTGGTACACTTGTGGAAAGCGTTGACGTTTTGTGTTTATCCTCTGAACCCTGAAACCCGTTGGTAGGTTTGAAA